TTAGGTTATGTTGCCTTAACTAGGGCATTCCTAAGACGATGTAGTAATTGGCCATTTCCACGACGTCGAAGATGATGTCCTTATAGTGTGATTAGGTAACTAACTATAAAGGTACCGTTTCCTTTATAACTCTGGGTAAGGCTAAGCCGTCTATAGCCATTAATTCATACCCGTGTTCTTTCGATCGAGTAGCTATCTTAAATCGAGTGACTGTCGATGTTGATATAAAGTTTCCGCTCGCTCCGGAATCTATTATTACATATAGTCGTCTTCCTTATACGGTAACTAGTGTACGAAACACCGTAGTTGATAATGTTGACGCTAGGGCTTAGATCGTGTTACATTCTCGTTAGCTGCCCTTACCACGAGAATCTACTCTTTTCCTAAGTCATCGCTAACTAGTAAGTCGAACCTAACTTTCTCCTTACCGTTTAACGAGGTAAATAGTCCGTGTTCTTCCTAAAGGTGTCTTTCGTATAGCTTACGCTACTACTATTATGCTTATTCGTACCGAGATTGTAGCAACTTAATGCCATCTCGCATACTGTTATTAACACGTTCTCCTAAGGGAATGATATATCCTACTAGTGTAAAGGTACTGCCGAGTGGTGGCCTCTTAACTATAAAAGCCTTAAAGTCGTAGTCGACTACTACAAGTCGGTATTCCCGAAATGCATTACGGATCTAATCCAGCATGTTATCGAAGTTATAAGGGTGTAAGAATCTCTAACCGTTTATCGAGGGGAATGCTTCCTCTCTATATTTCATTATAACGTTAAACATTTTCGTGAAACATAAGGGAACATAGGCATAAAGTGTCTTAATGCCTTCCCTACCGTTATAGAGGTGTTCGTAGTCTTCGTCGGATGATTCTTCTTCGGATTCCTTACTGTCGTTATCGTCCTCCTCGGGATCGCTTTCGACATTATCTTCTTCGACTTCTCCTTCCTTAAGATCTTCTATTCTGGTAATGACATTAATCTCGTTATAACCACCTCTACCCTGGCCTATAGGTGTAGGGGGAACCCACTTAGATCCCATCTTAGCGTCGTAATGGACTAGACATACGTCATTATAGCAGTCTGTCTAGCTAAGTATCTTATGGTGGTCTAGACCGTAGGTTCCGGTTAGCTTCTTCTACGTCATGTTAAATTGTCTTCGAGGCACCTTATTCTTTAAACGACAATCCCTTACCATGTGACCTTTCTAGTTATATGCATAGTAAGTCATCTAACTCTTCCCTTTAAACTGCTTCTTACTCTAAGATCGGCGACCTTCGGTAACGTCTAGTTCCATTAGCATAGGTCCGTAAGGATCCTAGTACTAGTTATTGCGGTTAAACTTCTTTCCTTTAAAGTTATTGTTATTACTACGGTATAGAACATAGCTAGACTTGCCACGAGGGGCAACGTCGTAACGTCTTTCTATAGCGCGTTTATAGAGGTTGTCGTCGATTTTAATAGTTATATAGATAAGTTCGTCGAGGTTCTCGATCTTCTCGCCGGTTCTTATAAGTTCGTCTTTAACATTCTCCTCTAGACCACGTCGATATATAGTCATTAGGGCGGAGTCGTCCTAATCGGTAACTTAGGCATACTCCTAGAACTTGGCGGCATAGTCGGATGCTAAAGTGTGTTAACGGATATGCTAAATAAGGCGTATAGCAACTTTGTCTTTGTTAGAGATGCTAAAGATGCGGCGTATCTCCTTCTTAAACTTAACGAAGCTCATTATAATTCCGTTAGTGTCCTCTTAGTCATTAAGGAACTTCTAAAGTATCGGTTTCATCTAGTGCTAGGCTCTTCCTCGGAGGTAGGTGCTAGCGAAGATGGTCTTCTTACGTTCTTCTATAGGGGTGAAGATAAAGTAGAGATCCATCTAGTTAAGCTAGTCGTTAAGGCCTTAGCGGTCTCCGTAGTAGAGATCGGGTTTAGCGACCTTACTATCGTCGCGGTTAGTGGTACGGGTTCCACCGACATCGCTAGGTATACCTCTTAGGGTACTACTTAATTAACTCATTCTAAGGGCGTTTAAAGTTGTTATGGCCAACTATTCTAGGGAGAATAACTAGTTACGGGGTTAGACTCGTAAAGCGGAGTGTTAAGCGTGGTAAAGTAGGTGTGGGTAGTAGTATATACTAAAGGGACTATTAGAATAACTAATTAAGTTAAACGTAGGACTTCCTAGTAAAGACCTACCTACCTATATACCTAATAGATAATGAGTGTATGTACGTTGCTCTATATGCTCTATAGTGCTCTTATAAAGTAGAGTAGTAGAGTAGAGTAGAGCATATAGCGTTTTTATGTAAGGTGCTCTATTATGCTAAGGTGCGGAGAACAACAGAGCAGGCTGTGCGACCCTGTTATTAGCAGGATCGTAACACTTATAATACGTATATTAACCTTATTAGATAGCTCTTCTTTCTTTAAGAGTCTTAAGATAGTTAACCTATTAACTATAACGTCGAATTAACACTATAATTCGAAGACTAACTCTTCCTACTATAGGTCGTTCTTTCTAGAGAGTAGATTAATAAGATATTTACGCATTAGTGGCGTAATCTTACGTAGCGCTCCTATGCGCTTAATAGCTAAGGAAGGCTTCCGAACCTACCTAAAGAGATCTATATTCTTCTACATACGATAGAGCGTACTATAAGGCGTATAGGGCACGACTTTTAAGACAGTATTAACGTCGTAGTTGTCGTAAAACATGGCCTATATAAGATCCTTCTTATAGTCGTTTAGAAGCATGTCGCGAGCTTAGAATTAGCCTTAGAACAATGCCTATTATATAGGTTAATACTACTAGAAATCTAGCATTAACTAATAAGCAACTACCTTAAGCTATACCGCTTAAATTCGGAGTGATAAGAGCTATATAACGTGCTAAATTCGATGTATAATGGTTAATTAGCTAGAATTAAGAGCTTAGAGCTATTAAGTTTAAAGACGGGGGTAGCAAATTCTTACGACTTCTACACTAGAGAATAAGCTCTACGCCTCGTCTAGCTAAGGTGGAAATTGCGAAAGCTCTAGAAGCATAGAACGACAATCCACTTCGTATCCATATATAAATACTAAGAACTATGCCGCTCTTTGTCTAGATAGGAGACTTATACTAAGTACTCTGTCCCGCCGTATGGCCGTGCTATAAACATAGTTCGATATTACTTCCGCAGTGTACCTCGGTACGGCAGAAACAACCTTATATCTTTAAACAAAGGTGGTTTGCCTACCTATAGTAACTGAGGTTAACCTAACCGACTGCCGAAGCGAGACGTCCGACCCTGCCAAGACACAATTTTATAATATATTATAAATTAGTCTATTAAATAAGAGAAAAAGCTTAATAATCTTAATAAATCTGATAATACAATATATCTATAACTAAATATAAGAATAATGCAAACTCTTAACCGCTTAAGCTACTGATTCTATGTTTGCAACATAAGTAGTCTTCTGTCTATAATTCTCTGTCCACGCCTTAATAAGAGTTATAACATCCTGCCTTGTTAAAGGTTGCGACTCTCTTAACGTCTCTTAACCATCAAGTGTAAGGACAGTGTTGTCATCGGGTGCACCTTTATATAAGGGAACTGACCTCATTTGAACGTTAACGCCTTAAGGTCGTAGGTCCTCGGTCATCCCTTGTATCATTCTCTCCTTGCGTATCCTAGCCACCGACGTGATCGTAGCGTAAGCATTAAGCTTCAGAAAATCCTTTATAGGGCCTTCTTCTAGAGAATCGAGTTTTCCACTTAAGAATTGGCCAACTTTTACGAATGTTTGAGCAACGTTGTTGCGGCCGATGTCAGACCAGATCTTCATGAGGCTTGTTAGCGCTTCGATAGACCAACTAAGCTAAATGATCACGTACATTATTACAGTTGTACGTGCTACTAAGAGCTCCGCCCCTGATCTCGTCGGTCATGGTTCTTGCAATTGTGTCAGGGTCAGGCAAGTCCACTTTTGTGACATCCCAGTTGCTTTTAAGGTCCTCGTTATCAGGATCGGAGATGTATTTGTTGAATTCGTTGAAGGAACAAATGTGGCCCTTCCCTTTCTTGCTCCAAGTACCACATCCGGGAGATATGTTTGTGGGTATTCCATCCTTTGCGGCAGCGGCGTCGGCTTGGTATGCGTAATAGAAGAACGCTCTTTCATAGGGTCCAACATCTCCGAAAGCAGAGACGTGAGTAGCATAAATAGCAGCTGTCAATAGGAGTAAAAGCTTCATAGTGGCTATAAATAGCCCCCAACTTGAACGAGTGTTTCTTTGTGGGCTGCATGCAAATTATATAGAACGAGAGCTCGACTATGTAATACGAGGACCCTCAGTCATTCGTCCTCTCCGTCGCTCTGTCCGAGTCCACGGCGGGATTGCAGGCGAGATTGCAGGCTACGCGATAGGCTAAATTGCAACGTCACCTTCAGACGAGGCGCTGCGCGAAATTGCAATATCCAGTCACCTTCAGACGAGGCGCTGCGCGAAATTGCAACGCCACCTGCATGCCAAGGAGCAGATCGTTCCAGACACACTGGGAAATATCCCCACTGAAAATCTAAACTATTTCTTCCATCCCGCCAATCTCATTCCTTTCCGACTTCCATTGCAACATGCCACGACCGACAACGCCATCGACCATGGACCGACTCTTGGTCCAAAAGTACGACAAGGAGGACTGTCTCGCGGCTATCCACGGACAACGGGTGCCTATGGCCTTGGGCCTACCCCTTGTCCGTCTCTGCGTCGTCCGTGGGATTCGATATCATCCTGGCTTCGCAGAAGAGTTGTACGGGCTTGACCCGCTTTTCACTCGCGCGCTCAACGCACGAAGGATCATGAGCAATGTCGTGCCAGATATCCAGAACCCCAATGAGGTGCCCTACTGCATCTGGCATCCCCAAACTGCTTCCGAGTCGACCTATCGCCAACTGGTCGCCTGCTATCCACACATGAGATACCATGTCGGCCGAGCCTGTGCCGTCGCTGGCTACACAAGCCTATATCGCGAGCTCGCCATCCTCCCTGACGCTCACATCGCCGAAGAGGCGCGAGAGTGTGGAAATCTGGACATCTTCGATCATGTCATGGCTGAGCCCGCCCAATACAACGTCATGAATGACTACCTTCGCTTAGTCAACTTGGAAAACCCTGAAAAGACCTGTCTCAATGGAGACACGGCTGTTTGCTGGTCTCTGGACAGTAAGCAAAAGTTCACGACAGCTGATCCTTATAATGAAGAGGAGCACCTAGGGTTTGGGAGTCAGGGTTACTTCGAAAACGACTTCAACATCACCGAGGATATGAGCATCGACGACTTTCAATCTGATAAGGAGTTTCGCTTCGACGTCACCAGCTTGCTCTCCATGCCTCTACCACTCCACCTTCCAACAGTAGAGAAAGATCTGCTCATCCTTATGGCCGCATACTATGGTGATATCGATCGTTATGCCCGTCTTCGGAGGCCTGAGAGGATTCTCAACGAAATCGAATGCTGCGTGCACGGAATTTATCACAATACACAGTTCGCGCTCTGGTGGTCCCAACAGCAACCAAGCTCGAAATACCTAGTCATGGCCGTAAATGCCCGTCTCATCATGAACAACGTGCTGGCAACCATCACCCCGGAGACTAGCCCGATAGACCTGCCATACCTTATCTGGTACCCAACGATCGCAGCGCCATCTACATACCTTGAGCTCGCTCGCCGACAGCCTACGATGGTGCCTCAGATTCTCCGATCGTGTATCGTTGCCAACTACACGGATCTCTTTGACGTGCTTATAGCAGATGCAGTGCCCGACTTGGCTGTTCTAGCTGAGGCCGAAGAGAGCTCTAATAGACACTATAAAGCGAGACTGGACCAGCGTGTGTTAGAGCTAGGCATTGCTCCCTCAATCGAGTGTTACACAGAATGGAAGATGTGGAGTACACGCAAGCTTATCACTTCAACGACTTCGCTCGAAAAATGGATGAGCCCACAATTGGTGGGCACAAATTCCCCGTCTCTCTACAACGGCATCCAGTGTGATGCTACGTCTGTTGAGTTAATGTCATCCCTGCCTAGAGAGTGGATACCTATCAATTCGTCAAAACCTGTCTTCCTTAACTATACCGAATGGCCTTTGTAATCAATCCTAATTCGAATATAACTGCGTTGATTTGCTTCTATTTAAGGAGGCTTTAGAGCTCAATCCGTTGCTGTGTAACAAGACTGCCTCGCTTCTTGATAATTGGGAGCGTTTTCCGTCTGTGAAGTTGAGGGAAGTGAAAGCGATCCTTCCTATCTATGTAGCCTGTGTCACTTGCGCTTAAGAGTGTAGCAGCGAATTTCAAACTGTCGTCAATCCCTAATACATGAGGTTGGTTGGTTGGTTGGTTGATTCTTGTAAGCTATTCACAGTCTTGTCGTCTGTATGAGCTATCCTAAACGTTGCTTAACCACTGCGGCCGTTGCTTAATCTCAAGTTCGATCTGGTAAAAAAGAAAAAGGAAAATTCAAAACTCCTCTATCCCTGCCCTTCCTCGCTCTGTCCTTATAGTGACGTAGCCCCCATCCTAGTTGTCTGTTAAAGGAACTGGATCGTTATCTTCACCATTTCCAAATTTGGCGCCCATTTCTCCATCGGGCCATCCGCTAACTTCCCCGTACGTAGCTCTCTCTTCTTGCTATAGCCTCCTAGCAGGTATGAGAGATCTCCCCACCTTCTCCCTGCCGCCTCCTTCATCGCTGGTCTTATCTCTGCCCACCGAGGACATCTTAGCAGAACGTGCGCTACCGTTTCGTCCTCCATCCCGCACTGGCACTTTGCATCTTCCGCTACCCGGAGCCTCGCTAACAATAGATTGATTGATTGATTGATTGATTTAATTGATCAGGCTACTTGGTTCTACGGCAAACCTATAAGCCGTCTCCTATTGGTTCTTCCTTCTTAATCCCTACCTGTCTTTATTCCATTCTAACTTCCCCTTACTCGACAGCTCTCGTCTGCCATGCAAACCTGCCGGACTTGTAAAGGAAGTGGAGGACCGCCTTCACCGCCGGGAGGTTCGCCTTCCACTTTTCCTTCGGTCCGTCGACTAGTTGCCCAGTTCTCGGGTCTTCCTAGGGATTCCACCCCCCGAGTATATAAGAGAGGTCCCTCCACCTGTGTCCCACTGCCTCGATAGCAATTTGACGGTCTTCGCGTAGGAGGGGGCATTCGTATATGACATACTTGATCGTTTCTCGCGTGGCTCCGCATTCGCACCCTGCTAAGTCTACTAGCTTCATCCGGTATAGGTCACTCTTCAGTCGGGAGTGCCCTATACGGCATTGGGCTAGTATCGACGCTTCTTCCGCTAACAGTGCGTTATACACTGTCGTTATATGGGAACCTAGGAGAGCTCCGTCTAGCTTCCACGTGTATAATCCGGAATGTAGCGTGTCTCGAGGTCTCGTACTCCTGGCCTGCTTCTAGGTCTCGTCTAGCTTCTTTTGAAGTGTCTTCTTAGCCACCCTTAAGGCCATCTTTCTCGTGACTCCTATGTAGCGTTGCTGATATATCCTCGACTTTACCATGCTACGGTTACGCGCGTCTGGAGGCGTTAGGGTGTTAGTAGGTGTAGGAAGGTTAGTAGATATCCGGAGGTCCGAGGAGGTTAGGGGGTTAGTGGGACTCGAGGGTTGCGTAGCAGCACCCTCCACCTCTCCTTGTTCCTCATCTAGTGCCTTTTTTGCCTGCTTGTCTGCCTACTTATTGCCGTACCATCCCTTATAGGCTGGTACCCACTGTAGGGTGACCGTCGCCCCTTCCTGGGCCTGGAGAGCATCGATGTGCCTACGGATGTACCGTACCACGCATTGTCCGTGTAGGCTTGTGCCCTCTATAATGTGGCGGATGGCTTGTTTGCTGTCCGTCGCAATAGTCGTATTCGTCGGGCGTCGTCTTTTCTTTGCTTAGTGTGCTAGCGCTGCTTCGATGGCTATGAGTTCTGCCACTGTCGAGTCGCTAGCTGCCCATCTCGGAAGTCGCTTTCGGGTGATGATCTTCCCGGTGTTCCCTTGCACTACCGTAATGCCACTTTCGCCGCCCTTCTATGCAGCGTCGGTGTAGAATGTACGTCTCTCTTCCTTGCCTGCTTTCGACCGTAGCTGTCGGATAACAACCTTCGCCTCGTCTCTGAGTCCCTTAACTAGGCACCCGGGGATGCCCTCTGTCTAGGGTTCTTAAAGGACTGGCTCTACGGTCTCCATTAGGCTCTCGGCTGTTAGGCCTAGATCCGGGCCGAACTTCCGCGTAGTGATAGCTAGCGGAGACGGGAAGCTCTTGCCCTGGGTGAAGAGTCTAGTTAGGTAGTCGAACAAAGGGTTCGTGTTTGGCACCGTGAGGCTCCCAACCAGGTGATTCGCAACCTTCCTCTATAGTCGGTCGACTGTAGTCTCGATGCCCGCTTCGGCTTGGGCTACTGCTAGAGCTGTGGCCCTAAAAGAGAGTATTATCGCCTAGGCTCCGATACGCTGAACCTTCTCCATATCGCGGAGCAGTGAGGTTGTTCCCCATTTTCCAGGCCCGTACCAGGCCGAAGCGCAGTAGTCCATGATTGGGGTGACCGTCGCGTTGTACAGCTGTCTGACTTGTTTAGGCCTGACTCCACGTAGTCGTTTGATAGCAAGGCACTGCTTTATAGCTTTAGCTGTCATCCTTGCCACATGCTAATGGAACTTCATCTTGCTGTCTAGGGTGACCCCTAACAGCTTGATGTGCTCGCTCGATTTGATGCCTTGTCCTTAGAACTGAAGATCCGGTCCGTTTTGCCGGCCCTCTTCTACTCTTCGGGTGAAGTGGATAAGGCCGGTCTTTAACGGTTCGAATGTCGCTCCGCTCTCTCTCGCCCATCTCTCCGTTTTTGTGATGACCGTGGTTTGGAGGGTCTAGATATTCTCGTCTACGTTATCCCCTACGACCCACGGGGAGTAGTCGTCAACAAACCCTAGGGCTCCCTGTGTCTTGTCGATAGGTTGCCCTATAAGATTGGCGTTATAGAAGATATATAGTATAGGGGACAGCGGTGACCCCTATGGAATGCCAGCTTAGACGATCGACTGCCTTTCGCTTTCGAACGCTTCGAGGGCGACCGTGGCCGTCCTTTCTCTGTAGAAGTCCCCAACCCAGCTGCTTAGGATCTCGGGTATTCCTCTATGTTCGAGCCTTGTTTCGAGCACTCTCGGGTTAACCCCGTTAAATGCCCCTTAGACGTCGAAGGTCACTAGAGATACGACCTTCCTGTTTCTCTAGGCCTCGTATACGCGTTCTACGAGGACGTTGATCGCTTGTTCGTACGACCTCTTCTTCCTAGCTCCGAAATGGTTATCCGGAAGAAGGTTGTGTCTCTCTGCAAGGTAGGCGAGTCTGTTCGCGACCACCGCCTCAAGGCCTTTGCTAATCGTAGCCAGTAGGGAGATAGGCCGGAAGGCCTTCGGTACTGTGTAGTCGGGTTTTCCAGGTTTTCGTAAAGGGACTATCCTCGCAGTCCTCCAGCTGTCCGGAAGGTGGCTTAGACGTAATGATGCCCTATACAGGGCCATTATGCTACCCTTTGCCTCTTCCCATACCTTTTGCCAAACGAGGAACGGGATGTCATCCGGGCCTGGTGCCTTTTTCGGACTGGATCGAAAGATCGCAGCGCGGACTTCGCTCTCTGTGATCTCTACATGCGTCCTAGTGGATAAAGGAGCCTCTACGCCTTCTAGGATCTCCCCTTCGGCTTCGGGTTCCGGTTGTGGTGGGAAAAAGGCTCGGAGGAGTGCTATTGCTTTTCCTTCGTCGTCGTCGACTAGCCCTTGGGTTCCTTGTAGCGTGGGAACACCCCGAGATCCTGGATCCATGTGGGTGTACCTGTTCGTCTTCCACACGTTGTCCGGACTGTCTACGAACTCCCTCTAGTGGGCAGCCTTCTGACCTGCTATTTGTGAGAGGTAGTCTTTCCGAACTGCTTGGATCTGTCGGCGTAAGTCCTTGCAGTCTAGGTCTCTCCTTCTCCGCTCTGTCTCTTGGTTCCGTAGAGCTGAAAGTGTAAGCCGGAGTGCCGTGAGAGATGGCGTCCACCACCTCTTTGCGTTTGGATGGGGTTTAGCGTATGGGATCTTGTCCGCAACTATCTGGCTGATTGCTTTGACAAACCTCCCGGCCTCGTCGTTAAGCTGTTCCTTCGTCTGGATCTGCTGAGGTCGAGGTAGGAGACTAGCTGCCTTGCAAATGTCCACCCAATCTGCTTTGTCATAAGCCCTCCGTTGCCTCCTGGTAGCCCTCGTCCTCCAGGTCATCCGGAAGCGGGCTTCTATGACCCTGTGGTCGCCTCCGTGGTCTATATTAGAAGTTTTGCACTGGATCATCGCCGCCTGTAGCCCTGGCGACACTAGGACGAGGTCAATGGTGGTCGGGTGTAGGCCGTTGTAGTGCGAGAAGGTAACCGTGCCTCTCGGAAGCATAGAAATCTAGTTCCTCCTCGACCATAAATTGTAAGATAGGCCAGTCGTCCTTCCTTCTATCCGGCGCTACTTCCTTCCCTCCCCATACATTGCTATGACGGTTAAAGTCGCCCCCGACGTATACGTGGAGGGCGTTGTCTGTTTTCTCCCGGATTTTCTGTATAATGTCTTGGGCGCAGGCTATACGCTCCTGTAGGTCGATCTCTTCCCGCGGTCTCTTATATGGGACGTAGATCGATATAAGCAATAGCACCGCTCCTTCCGCCTGCATCGTCACCGCCGCTACGTCTGGCGACGTAGTCTCCACTTCTTGGTGCTTTATTCTGTCTGACACCCAGATTGCTGCTCGGAATGAAAAGCGTACCGAGCTGGCCTCCTGGTTGTGTATTTTCGGTGTAATCGTCGTCCACCCACTATGCTGGTTAACCGTGGGTTCCCCTGTCCTAGGGTGAGCAAATATGTAGGGTTCCGAGATGCACATGGCGTCGAACGTTGCCGTGCTATCGTCGTTGAAAATGCTTATGGTTGGGCCTGGCCTAGCCCCTACGTTCGCCTGTAAGATGCTTATCTGGTGTCCTAACATCTGATGGGGGACTGAGTCGCCTCCGTTTTCGTGTCGGATACATGTTGTCTTATCTCCTTGTGTCTCGGATTGGCTACGCACCTTCTATCCATGATAGAATGGGGTCCGTTGCACGCCGGGCACTTTGGATTGTTCTTGTTCATGCAGTCTCTGCTCTGGTGGTCTCCTGAGCAGTGGCCACACTTGGCGGGTTTGGTACACTTAAACTGGTAGTGACCGTAGCTGTTGCAGTTAAAGCACGGGTCGTTGTTCTCCTTTGCCTGGTAGGGGGCCGCGAATCCAGCTGTAGGTCCGAAGATGACCGTCATCTTTCTTAGGAGATACGCAGCTGCCTCTCTCTTCTTGAGCCATACGATCATCGAGCCGTTGACCTTGTCGGATGGTCTGCTGATCCAGACGGCCTTCATGGCTGTGCAGTCGATGTTGTCTTGACTGTTGTCCGCTGCGAAGTTTATAACGACTTCTGGCTTTGGGTTCTTCGGTCCTCCCGAGGGGTCTAGGACGACACTCTTCGAGATGCCGTCGACTTTGATGGGAAACCAGGCTTCCCCGCGGATGCGGGCTCCTGGCATAGCTTTTTCAATCCATCTAGGGTTATCGCGAGTGCGCTGAGCTTGTTCGACTGTTGCCAGGCAGAGTTCTAACTTGTTGGTGTAGATCTCACGGAGGAACTCAACCTCGACGTCCTCGGTGTTAGGGTTTCCCTGGAGGGCCTTGATCCATTTATCCTTTACCTTGTTTAGGTCGTCCTTGTCTCCTCGGGCCCTAGAGATGTCGATTTCTATAGTCTGTCCCTC